TTAGGCAGGATATATTTTTGTGTGGCGAAACATTTTTAAACAGGAAATAAATATATTATTCTTGTAGTGATACAACATTAACTAATATATAATTGTCATTACAGTTTGACATCATGCTTTCGGAGGATGGAAGTGGACGAGGCGCGGCTCTAGTGGCAGCCGTAGCTTGTAGGGATCGGTGAAGTAGACGCAATTTGTAACGTAATGAAACTATGATTAGAACTGTTTGTACACATTAGACTACTTGGGTTCCTATAGATGTAATTTTGAAGACCACAATATCAAGTATGTTTGTAAAGTGTACTTGCTGTGATAGTGGACAGAGCCACCGTAGATCGATCGGCGAGGACGAACTTACTTCCGTACGAAGGATAAATATCTGTTTGTGTGCGTTTGTACTCGATGAATAGGAAGTGTATGATCATCTGGACTGTCTGATCCAAGTGAAGGAAATAATCTTGCTACACAGCATGGAGGCTGAAGAATGCAGTTGAGATTTTAGTTTCACAGTTCTTCAAATGAACTTGTTTTTGTTGTAATTTATTACATTTATGGAATATTTAGCTGTTGCCAAATTTTTAAATTGATATTTAAAGTTATTTTTTAATTGTATGAATATGCAAACTGAAGATTATTTTAGATGAAATTATAAATAAACATTGTTTTAGAATTTTAATTGTTGTTTCTGCATGCAGTAAGTTACTTAGAATTTCCAAGCAGTGTATAAATATAAAGTCCGCAGAGTATAAGAACTTCTTTTGTTTCTTCCCACAACCATATTCAGTAGGGGGTGTTCTGGTCCAAGATTTGAAACTAAACAGTGGATTTTCCATTTTATATGGCAAAGAAATAGTTGGTATAGAAAAGAATACGCTGATCTTTAGGCAGATAAATGACAGTGCTTTTTAATGACTTTAAAAAATATTAAACAGAAGAAAAACTTCTTGAAATGGTGCACTGTTCATACAGTTGTCACACAGGCAGAGAAACAATGGTCTATGATTGAAATATGAGTATACAGACTGTCCCATGAAATATCTGCCGAACTCTGGGTTGTTACTCAGTGCCTTTTTTTTAAGGGAGCGAGAGAGAGACCCACATAAGTCAGAAACTCAACTGTTATGTAGCCATCTGGCTTCCCCATTTATCAGACCTGACGCTCCTTTATTTCTGCGTGTGGGGATGTATGAAGGACTTGGTGTATCAGGAGAAATCGGACACGAGATGAATTCTTACAGTGCATCATGGATGGTGCTGGTCTCGTGTGAAATAATAATGGAAGCTTCCAGAAGTCTATTTTAAAATGAGCTCACTTGTGCATAGCCAATTAAGGAAGTCATTAAAATATGTAGGTTATGTCTTCACATATATTAAACATGAGGAGCATGCTATTCTTATATAGCCGATTCTCGTATCTCCAGTTACAATAATTTAATTTAATCTGTGTTTTTCCTTGAGATTTCTCCTTTCTGTTCATCATAGCTTAGAGTTTTACTTATATTGGTATAACATTTTTCACTCAAAATAAGCCAGTAACCACCCATTGTTTGACATACATTTCATGGGGCATTCTGTTTATAAAATTTGCTTATGACCGTCGAACATAAAGGGTCGCAAGTTATTGTCCAGAATAAGTGAAAAAATATTAAAAGTGGTGTGGCTTCCGATTCTGAATCAAATTATTTTGACACTGTACTACCGTCTCAGTTTTTAAAGAGAGTTATGTTGGTAGATGATGAAGCCTTATAATATTTGTGAGAGAATGTAAGCAAACAAAATATTGGTTTATCACATACGTATTCCTTAGAAATAAGTTTTGACTGTACCATTAGCTGTAGGTGCCTAAAAATTAGTTGTTGAGAAACTTGCCGATATGAAAGAGGGAAAACAATTGCCTTTTCATAAAAAAATATGCATATACAATTTGTAAATGTGTAATGCAGAATACTTTAAAAAAATCCAATTTGGTGATAGAAATAAGGAAACTATTTAATTAGCCCCAGAAATATTTTAGAAAATATGAGTAAAAAAAATATTAAACTGTTGAACATTGGGCACATGGTACCCAAAAACAATTTGTTCACATGACACTTAATTCGTGCTTAAGACACGTGCACATATGCACACACACACACACATATATATAGGTTTTATTTGTAAGAAATTCCAAGAAGGGGATCAAAGGTTCAAAAATTTGAGAAAGAATGATCTGAATGGGTCTCATTCTATAATATCGCTTTGTGTTATGCCTAGAAAAGAAATGAAATATAAAAGCAGCATTGTTAATTTGTTGACAAGAAAAATGTCGACACAGGTTGATTAAAAATCTAACACTGAAGCATATAATATCAAAATCAAAATTATTAGCAATATGATAAGGTTAGGTTAAAAATATGATATGCTAAAATACCATACCAGTTTGAAGTGTATTCAGCTCCTTTCTTTTAAGACTGTTGCCATCTTAGTCCAAACTCGCATGATTAAAGGTAGTGAACGTCAAATGTATCACTTATTTATTTTTTACATTCCTACAAACTTGCGGAACTATTTTATTAACAAAAGTTTTGGATATCGGGTCAGAAAAAGAGGTTAAGAACACGAGTGTGACGTTCTCACAGGAATGAATATGTCAGTATTGGCCTTCTGGGTTGCAATGCTATGTGGATGTATATACGAGGGTGAGTCAAACAATCAAAGACTTGCACTTTGAGTGTCTTCCACATCCGTCATACTCACAAGACCTAGCCCCAAGTGATTACCACATGTTTGGGCCACTCAAAGAGGCGATGGGAGGAAAGAAGTTCCGTTCTGACGAAGAGATACAGCAGGCGGTGCATGAGTGGTTGCGCAGACAACCACAAGAATTTTTTTCTAGAGGAAGCCATACACTTCGTAAACGCTGGAGGGCCTGTATTGAACGAAATGGAGACTATGTAGAAAAATGATATAGTTGTGTACCGCTTTCACTCAATAAATTAAATTTTAAAAAAAAATACGGTTTTCATATGACTCACCCTCATACAAGACACCAATGTTTAAGAGGAACATGCTGCCTCAGTTTTCTGGGTTGAAGATGGAGGCAATATGTTGCTGTCTACCTAGAACTTCACATGGCAAGAAGGCCACCATCAAAAGGATAAGAACAAATTGGTTTTAAAAATTATGCAGTAACCAAAGCAACAATTGTAACCGTTATATTTCTAGCAGCTTTTATATACACGAAAAGAAATTGGATACAGAAGTATTTTAAACTACTGCTTAATAAATGAACAGAACTGTTCAATTCTAAATAATCTTGATCTAAATTCATGGCTGATTTCATGTTTCTGATATACAATATTGAAATACACAGTTTGCTGTCTTAAGTTAAAATTCATTTTGTATAGAAGAAGCATACACATTTATAACCAATTAGTGCATTCTGATGTTGGTTCTTTGTTGCAGATTTCATTCAAATGCACATAAGAAATGTTGATGTAAATTCTGTTCAAGTAATTGTGTGCATCTCAAAAAAAAAAAATTGAAATACACAGTGAAGACTAGTTGAGTGTTTAGTTTTGTGAACAAATCAGTGAAATTTCCAAATTCACGTTGAACCATTTTCACAAAGGTTCTGCAGAATGTCTTAAATGAGCTGTACATTGTGAGATTTCAGGTTCTCATGGTGCTCAGTATAAACACGCCTGTCTTCTGGAAAGTTTCATTGCGATGATGATGGAGGCAGTAAGCTCCTCTAAAATGCCAGGCAAATATCTACCAGACTACATGTCACAACGTCCAAGAGGGCAGCCACCTTCAGATATACAGTTCAGTCCTGATTATCGGACCTAAATGGGACCGAAGGATGGTCATGTGATCAAAATTCAAATAAAATGTGAGACTAATGAAAATGACGAGGGTAAATACCAACTCAGTTTATGAAATAACTAAATTATGAAAAAAATCTCACAAACAAAAGTAGTATGCAACATAATGTAAATCTGTAAATGAGATTTTATTTTTGAACAAATTAGTAATGGGTATTTGCTTCTGCACCTCCTTTGTTTTCTCTGCAGCACAGTGATGCCAATGCCGGAACAATAACAAGTCTGTAGCGGTCACCTCCCTTTGTTTTTCAACATTAGCAAGCATGGTCTCGATAGAACTCGATCCCTCGTTATGATTCATTCTATCAGGTTTCTCTGCGCCTTCATTATCATCACTTAAATAATCATTAGCAGCATTACTCACAGGGTCTACTACTACTACGCTGTAATCAGTCAGCTATTCTTTATTTTGACTGCTCCATTCTTGTATGTTGTCGTCATTCACGATTTGAATAACCAGTGCATTTTCTTATATAAGAGGTCCAGTTATTAGCATGCCTTTCTCTCTTTGTTGTATGAACCACAAAAACAAAGCTTCACTTATTTTTTGTTTGTCATCAGTCTTTCGATTGGTTTGATGCGGTCCTCCATTTTCGTCTATCTTGCGCCAATCTCTTCACTTCCGCACATTTTTTGCAGCCCACATCCTCAAAAATCTGTGTCACATATTCCAATCTTTGTCTTCCCCTACAATTCTTCCCTTCAGCTGTTCCTTCCATTACCAAATTAACCAATCCTGGGTGCCTCAGAATGTGTCCCACCATCCTATCTCTTCTTCTCGTAAGATTTTTCCGTAGACTACTTCCTTCGCCTATCCTGTCTAAGACCAGCTCATTTCGTACTTTATGAGTCCACTTAATTTTCAACATCCTCCTACAGCACCACATTTCAAATGCTTTTGTATTCATATATCGTCATCTTTTTTCTTACTTTCGTTCAGGCCTTCATTTGAAGCTCTAGCAAAACATCACACTTCAATTTAACTTTTTCTTCCTTCTGCCACTTTCTACATAATATCACCCTTTTCAGTCTCTGTTGAGCTTTTGTTCCATGGAAACAACCACTTTCTCTCCTCACTTGACATGTTAATGAAAACATTCATTACTTCGTGAGAAATTAGTACTTTCCACCAACAAACTAAAGCACGACTGCACTCACGTAATCAGAGCCAGTAACAAAAGTACGCTAAAGCATCAGAGTACATAAAATGTAGAAGGTGCGTGGTGTGGGAGTGATTCATTCAGCTACACGCTGAGTTGACTGTCGATAAAATGGAGCGTTTCGACATGACGCGTCAGATGAGATGATAATGTTGCGTCATATTGTGATGAATTATAATTGTTTAATTTTAACCGTCTAATTTTTTTTTTAAATATTAAATGTTAATTGTAGTAATAATATTTTAATATTTAATAAAATATTTTATTGTGATTAGACGGTTAAAATTAAACAATTATGACACGTCAGATAAAACAGACTGTCAGGTAACCAAGGTCGGATAGTCAGGAGTTTTACTGTTCATTGTCCCAAATTGCAAGATAAGATAAACCAAGTAAATGCAGGTGAACTACAATCTTGTTGTCTATACAACCTCTAATCATGAAATTCTTGTCAACTGCATTCTCAGGAGAATATATACTTAAGGTCTGGGTAGGCTGCTTTAAATTGGTCTAAAAATTAAATATTACCTTGATGTGGGACTTTCAATTTTGGACTGATGGTAGAGTGGACACAAAATAACCCTGAGTTTTGGCTTCTGCCAGTGAAAGGAGGAAGGGAAGATGGCAAAAAGTCCGTCTGAGCACGTGGAGTGCAACGGAAAACATGTTTTTCCATTTTAATTTTGATACACTGTATTCTGTGAACCAAAAGAACTATAAAACACTAGCAATGCCTCAACCTGCACATGCTACTTCTAAACCCTAAACATAATAATTTCACATCTGATATTATTAAAAAAATGACTGGGTTATGTTTCTGCTACTGC